TCAGATTAGATGATATCAGTACGTAACGTTTTTGAGTGATTTACCAGTTCATGTAAGTTCCAATGAGACCACGATCAAATACTACACCGAGTGTATTCGGTTTAAGATCAAATGGAACCACATTCATCACCCACATTGGATATTTGATCAAGGCTGCAGCGAAACCGCCTAAACCGGCATTCATATCCATTATGTTTCTGTATTTTCCATTGTTGATAATCTTCAACTTAGTGTTATAGTACATAACTATTCTCTGCCACAAATTAGTGTCAGCTTTGAAGCTGGAAATGTTCATTCGCTGTGGCGCGTGATTTAGTCTCTCGGGCCAGTTTCTCATAACGGTCTTGTGTGTGTCATTGACTTCTGGAAAAGGAGTGATGCATGGCTCCATCTGTCTGTACCTATTGTTAACAAAGATGTAACTGAGTCAAGTTTCAGATTCTGAAGATGTTAAGAGTAAGTTTAGATTTGTTGCAAGTAAAGTCTCCTAAAAACATCATTTAGTTTCTCCATCTCCTTGTGCAAATCCTTGAAATCTCTCTTCTGGTTCTTGGATTTAACATTTGATGATGTTACAGGTGGTCCAGACAACACCCAATATCCATTAGGACGTAGAACACGATCCACCTCCATCAAGTAAAGCCCATCTAGATAAAATGTTATTTCTCTTTCAGTATCAGAAGCAGAGTGAATCAAGCAAAATGGTCCATAATTAGATAAACAAGTACCATAGGCAGTCCAATTGACAAGGCATCTAGAACAACGGACCATGTCGAAAGACCTCGATGGGTAAGGCAGCTTATAAGTGCTTAGAACACCGAGCATCGCAGGGAGTCCACGTTCTAATGCAAACTGAACTTGAGCATCGTGTATATCCCTCGGTGCAATGGACATTGTCAAAATGTTATAGTTCAGCAATAAGGATCCAAAACTCGCTACCTAAAACACAATGAAATCCATCGTCAAGCTAAAGGCAATCGAAAGACTAATACTGCAGTCAAATTCATGTAACAGAACTCACTCCACATCCAATGTCAAGAACAGTCCTAATACTCCCTGAAGCCAAAGGCAAAACCTCAAGAATCACATGAACATAGTCCTTCACGCCACTAGGAAAAGAAGTCCCGCCTCCGGGGAAAACAAAGCGGTCTCCTTCAAGCCTAACCCAGTTCTGAGTCTTTTTAAACTCGGCTAGCTTCTTGAACGGAACGTTCTTGAACCAAGCATAGCTTCTACTATCAGGCCAAGGAAAAGGCGTTTTGTAGCCAGAGGGCTTTGGAACCAAACACCTGTGCTTCTCGTGGGTTGAGTCAGGACAGTGCCTCTCTCTCCGGTAGTGTCTTTCAATACTGTATTTTCGTGCGGTTGATGGGTCAGGGCAAGTAGTTGGTGAAGTTCTTGGGACAGAATGGAAAGTAAGATGATGATTGGTTTTTTAAAGGTTCTGGAAGAGAGGAGTGATGGGAAATGGAAGGTTCTTGAAGGTTTGGAGGATGGTGAGGATCTTGGGAAGAAGAGATGGTGGTGAAGATGTAATAGAGAGAGAAGAATAAGACTAGAGTGAAGAAGAATACTAGATGCTTAGGACATGGCTTGGCTAAATGTAGTAATAGATTCATCTTTTTCCGGGTCTGGATTTCTGCAATTAGGTTTCAGAGAGAGGACAGCGATGTGAAGTAACATTACTGATGTTAAAGAAATCAAAGACTTACCTCGTTTTCTCAAGTGGAAATCTGAAACTGTACTTTTGTCTCCAATAAAAAAATAAAACAACCTTTTTCTCTTGTGGTCTCCATATTCTATTTTGAGATAGTTAACAGTAGTTACTAGAAACTTGTACATTAACACTTAACAGTAGAGTATTCTTACAAGAGCAACACAAATTAAGAATTAGATCAAAATGTTGGGTACAATAAAGAAAGTTTTTAATGAGGCCTAAACAGTGGTTGCTCTCTACTACTAGCACAAAGAAGAGACACAGAGAAGTTCGCTTTAACGCTGAAGAATATTGTCTCTTGAAGTAAACTTGTCTCCAAGTAATGTAAATTTCAAGCACTCGAGTTGGATGATGAAGACAGAGACCTTCTTGGGTACAACTGCATGAGATTGAAAGGGATATAACTATGTTAAGTCTTTGAGGAGACCAAAGATTTTGACATTGATCATCAATATATTGGTGAGAAGTTTTAATTAAGGCTAGCATGTGGTGGATACCTCGGAATTTGTCGTCTCTTGTGATTATTCCAAATGTTTCAGATGTCTCACGCACCATTATACCTTGTACACCAGTGAATGATGCTACCTTGCACTCAGCAACTGTTATGAACAAAAATTACAATATGAAAGAGATCTTCCTTGGACAGTTCATGGACTAGGTGTGCTCAAGCATACAAACAGATTGAATTTTTGAAAGTGAGAGGCAAAAGATCGATCCTATAACTAAAGGTTTGTGAAAGAATAAATAATTACCAAACATGAAAGCACCATGAAGATCTGCTGAGAGAAGAGTTGAGGCTAAGTGAGCTTTCCTGCAAAAAGTAGATTGGCTAAGAACGAAGACCAATCTTAAAATAATCGTGAATGCTACATTACACCCCTCAATTTCGTCATTTTATAAGCACTTAGTTTGAATTAGTATTCCGATAAGTAGTCGTAGCTTACCCCCCGGTCGCCTTGATGAGTTGCATCATGTAACTTTCCCACATACTATGCATTGGCTTAAACAAATCAAACCTGTACTCCAAACACAAATGATAAACAATCAAAGTCTGTTAAAAGTACCAAAATATCGGAGCCACTTCAATCTCTATGACGGCTGAAAAAGAAGAACTCACTTTTGGAGATCTTGAGGCAAATGCAAAGCACCAGATTTCTTGAGTCGCTTCATAGACATACGGCTTTTCGAACGTTTTGAATTCTTCAATGATGCCTTTTTAGTACCCGAACGTGACTGTACCAAGTTGTCAAGAAGAATAAATTGATCCTTTTGCTTTCCTAGATCCGCCTTTTTACTACCTTGCAAATACTTTTGAGAACAGTCACCACTTCGAAAGAGGTTATCCAAAAGCTTCTTTACTATAGTTCCCTTTGTACTAGATAACTGAATCACAAAAAACACACATTGAGCAAACCTTATCTCAAATCATACAGAAGAAGACAGTGATTCACTCGTTTACCTTAACATTAGTCGCCAACAAATTCTCATCAACGGGACCGGACAATCTTGTATACGCAACAAAATCATCCTCCTTGTGATCTACAAAACCAAATTTCACACCACAATCACTATACAATTAAAAAGAAAAAGCTTATAATGAGAATCAATCAACCGTCTGTTATAACACAACAATCAAACAACCCTTTGTAATTGATGTCTTTGAAGGAGTAGGCAATGAATCAGGTTTTATCTCATTCTT